TTTATCTAAGTATTCCACACATCTATAGCATCTTTCATCAAAGAATCTCAGACCAAGAAATAACCCTTAAAAGTCATATTTCTAAAAATACAACTATAAATATATGCTAATGTGAAATAAGATAAGATTTCTCTAAAGGTGCTAAATATACTTTGGAAAGAAAATATTTTTGCCCTTTTCAACATTGCCCCATCTATTATACTGCCTCAAGCTCTGTGTTTCCTATGACACTATATTGGCTTGGAAACCACTGTCACCACAGAGCAAACACTTCAAGGCAGCAGCTGTGCAACAAAGATTGAAATTGTGAAGATGTAAGTCAGTCTTAAAGGAACATGTGGATGGCTGATCAGCCCTCAGACTCAGGCAACAGCTAGAAAATTGTGAAGAGCATAAAATAACATGATTATTTTTTCTAGTGATCAGTCAGAACCGAAATAAAATATCTGGAAAAAAATAAGCATGCTTTCTATGAAGCCCAAGACTTGGAGATCTTGTGCAAAGTGCTACAAACAGCAATGGACATGCAAGATAAAAACTGAAATTCTATCCTTTGAGAGGCTTCCTAATCTCTTTAAATAGGCAAGGAACCTGTGTCAGTTTCTGTAAACAGTGAATTCTAGGATTTGAGACAGTTATTGGCGGTTTCAGGAGAGCCAAGATTGCTATCCCACTTGAACACAAAACCTGTCTAAAGAGAACTGGCATCCCACTTCCTTCCTTACAGCTCTGGATGTTCATTTTATGACTTGCCACCACTGAAGTAAAAATGTATATATCTGGATAAAATTAGTGAAATACAATCCTGCAAACACAAGGTTCTGGTTAAAAGCCTGCACAACTGCTCAGAAGGCTACAGATACCATGTTAGCTTCAAGAAGAGCTCTCAGATATGTAATATTTTTTATCTTTATGCTGTCTTTTAGAAAAGATCTTGCACCTCCACAGTATATTATGGGGTTTTGTAATTTTGCTTTTACAATTTACTTTAACTTGCAAAATATTCTTCAATTGCATGCATTTCCCTTTAAAATGCTAGTGAACTTTGCAGCTTGTCAGGAACAGGCAATCTAACTAATCTTATTTCACCTGCATTAAAAACAAAATGCTTCAAGAGTTTTGAAAAAAGGACAATTCCTCAGCAATACCCCATCTACAGAAGACTCAACGGCAATTTTAAATCAAGAAATTTTATTCTTTCACTATTTTTTCCACAAAAACTTTTCAGAATGATATCTACCACTCCCATAACTTAATGTTCTCTAAAAACCCTATTATGAGTTTCAGTCATAGAAACAGATGATTTTTTTCTCCCAGCAGTCAAATTGTCAGGTGCATTTCACTACTGTAATTTGATTCCAATTTGTACATATCTTCTTTCTCCAATAAAAAAAAGGAAAAAAGCCCACTTTTCTTTTCAAAGATATGATTGGCATATTTACTGCATAATTGCAAACTACAACTGTGGTTTCAGATGTTATACCCCTGCACAGAAATGATTGATTAGCCTGCTCTTTACTTGCTTTGAGGTAAATGCTGCCTCTGTCCCTTTTTATCCAGAAAAAAACTGTGCAAAATTGTTCTTCCAATATGTGTGAATTTACATTTTACCCACTTCCAATGTTTATGTATGAGCATGCATATATATGCACAGCAACTAAAATATTATATTGATTAAATACAAAATGTATAATGGAATGGAACTGAAGATAAATTATGTATTCACAAAGTGTGGCTGCATTCACAAAGTGCTTCACTGCATGTTAATAACAAATGAATATTAAAAAATGTAAACCCCCAAATCCTGGTTTTCTTAATTCATGGTAAAACATAATATAAATATATAAGAATGTTATATGCTCTTCCTTCCACATCATTGTCTAAGAAAACAGAAAAAAAAAGGAGAAATAGCAGTAGAAAGTTCAGTATAACCAAGATGCCAAGAATCTGATGGGCTTCTGGAGAAATTACCAGGGGCTATCAACACAAGTCAAGAATCTTTTGACTCCACAGGGACTGTGGAATGCATGAGAACTTCAGAAACATTTCATGTTCAAGTGCAGCCAAAAGCAGCTTCAAAGTGTTTTTTGGCTGGATTGTAAAATCTCACCATGATATACAACAGATTTGATGACACTGAAGTCTGCATGCACCAAAGTCCACCCATCAAATATAATTTATTCTGGATTGATCAAGTGTAATACCCCTAGCATAGTAAGGGAAATGGACTTCAGAGCAAGAACACAATCAAATTGGCACATGTTCCTTCACAGAAATTAATATTAATGAATGAGATGAAGTGGGGAAACATTGGCTGGACAAGAAAGAAGGTACTGGGCACAACAGATTGTGGGTATAGGTGATGACATACAAAACCACAGTGTCAAGAAGGAAGGGGAAAGTGGTTCTGAAGGCTGTTTTGGTGTTGGGAATGTCTTACTTACCTACTCCTCAGAACTCATGTACAGTGGGAGAAGTCATGGAACTAAAAAGAACTTATTTTGTTCCTTACAGAAAGTCAAACAAGAGGTGTGTTTTTTATGAATGAATGCATGAAGACCTGAGGCAGGAATTCAGAATATGTTACACCAAAAAAAAAATTGGAAAAATGGGAATGCTGCAGAATAAGCTTCCATGAACACATAGAACTGCTGCAAGAAAAAATCAGAATCTAAGATCATCGTGGATATTAAGAGGTGCCAAACTTAAGAAGAAAAATTAATTTTGGGCATCTAATAATAATGAACTCACGGTGCAAACTTGGAAGTCCTAAAAGAGACAACAAATATATGTCATCAAGAGACAACAGACAAATATATGTCATCAGTCAGGAATTAGGTAGTGAAATGCTTTCCAAGAAAAGAAAACAAAAGACCTGCTAAAAAAGAACATAGTTGCTGAACCAATGGATTTAAAAAAAAATCCCACATGCTAAACTGTCCTGAAGACAATGAGACCAGCACTCATTGGGAGGAAGGCAGTTCAATTTCTAGCTAATTCTTTCTCTGGTGAAAAGTCTCCACTCCAAAAGCTTGACACCTTAGCATGCAAAGTGCCTGTGCTGTGCATGACTTTCCTGCTACTACAAGTATCAAGAATACCTGTGGAGTCTTCCCTTTGCTAGGAGGGATCACTGCACTCCTATTGTATGGCTCCTGCTTTTGATGCCTCTGCAAGCCCATATGATCATTTTACTCCAGTCCACTGTTGGCATTGCAAAGCAGCCCAGCTGGCACATAAACTTTCATGCTTACTCCTCAGAAAGGTCTCTGTATGTGATTTTCTTAGGTTCCTCTTAACACATCTAAGAGAACCCTAAAAAGCTGTAAATAACCTATCTTCTCAAAGATATAAAGAAATTTTGCAGACTCTAAAGATTTTGCTTATTTGGTGCATGTAAGACACTGAAATTTTCCTAAAAGTAACATCAAAGAGGCAAGGGCCAGGGCCCTGAGTACTCCCACTTTCAAGACTGGATGACTGAGTTAAGGAGTCCAACTTGTCAAGTGCAAACACAGTCCTTCCACTAGTAAGAACTGTAATGAAAAAGCTAGAAGCAGCCCTCTTCTCAACCCTCCTTTCCTTGTTGTGCTTTGGGAGCTGCTTTTAAGCAGTCTTTACTGTTGGCCTCCAATGTCTGCACCTGGTCTGATGCCTCCCTGACCTTGACCCACACCCCCTGGCACAGCTTCCTGGCTTGCCTGGCACCTGCCACCTCACTAAGGTCCTGACAGGTGATCACCAGGCTGTGCCTCCTCTGCCATTTAATGAATATCAGTTCTGGGAATTTTCCAAACATGTCTCAGCCATCACTGCTTACAGTAACACCATGAGAAGAGCTGAAACATCCCAGATCCTAGCAGTGAGTTGACTACCACCGAGTTTTACCTGCAGGTGCTGGTTGATAGTGGCTGAAGATGAGCCAGGCAGCCAAGAAGGCCAATGGCATGTTGGCTTGTATCAGAAATAGCGTGTGGTACTCTTGCTATTCTTGATAATGGTTAGGCCACACCTAAAGTGCTGTGTCCAGTTTTGGACCTTCACTTCAAAAAAGACATTGAGGTGCTGGAGTGAGTCCAGAGAAGGGCAAAGAGGCTGGGGAAGGGTCTGGAGCACAAGTCCTGTGAGGAGTGGCTGAGAGAGCTGGGGCTGCTTAGCCTGGAGAAGAGGAGGCTCAGGGGAGACCCCATCCATCACTCTGCACTGCCTGAAAGGAGGCCGGACTCAGGTGGGAATCGGCCTCTTCTCCCGGGTAGCGAGGGTCAGAAAAGGAAACTGCCTCAAGTTGCACCAGGGGTGGTTTATGTTGGATATTGAGAAAAAATTCTTCACTGAAAGGGCTGACATTAAAACGGGATGCCCAGGGAAGCAGCAGAGTCCGGATCCCTGGAAGTGTTCCAAAGGTGCGTGGATGTAACACTTGGGAAATGTAGTTAAACAGTGAATACGGCCACGCTGGGTCAACGACTGGACTCGATGACTTAAGACCCAGCCAGCCTCTTGGGCTTTCGCGAACACGCAGGGCCCAGGGTTCCGTCTGCCTTTCCCTGAGCGCCACTGGCGCTGTGTTTACCTCCTCACTGACACAGGCACCCCGGCTCTGCTCCCGCCGGGACCGGGCGGGACGCGGCTCCCCCGCCCCTCAGCGCAGCCCCGCCCCGACCACCAGCGCACCGGGCATTTAAAGGGCCCATGGCGGCCGTGCCCGGGCAGCGTCGCTGTGTGCCCGCCTCGGCCCTGCCGCGCTGCCCCGGCCCCTCCCTCGCCGCGGTCCGGGGGTTCCCGCGGGGCTGCCGGGACCCGGGGGAGCTCCTGCGGGGGCTCGCGTAGCGCGGGGGGGACGAGCGGTAGGGCCCGGTGTGCGCCGGGGGCAGGCGAGCGGGCGGGCGCTGGATTCTTTGGATCGCGGACGTCGTGGGCGAATAAAACAGGCGGGCGGGCGGTTGCGCTGTTGGTGCCGCGGGGGGCGCCGAGCGGAGCCGCTGCCGGGCCCGGCGCAGATGGAGCCCCGCGGCCGCGGCGCCGCGCCCGGCGGCGTGTCCGTGTCGGCCGTGCTGCCGGCGGGCGGGAGCGGGGAGCGCCTGGGCGGTGCCACCCCCAAGCAGTTCTGCGCCGTGCAGGGGAGGCCGCTCGTCAGCTACGCGGTGCGAGCCATGGAGAGGTAACGAGCCCGGCGCCGCTCGGCTTCCGACCGCGCCCCGCCGGCTCCTGCCGGTCCACGGGCCCCGGGGAGCCGCAGGCAGCCCCCGCTACCCTCGCCTCAGGCCCTGGGCACTCGAGCGGGTCTAGTTTGCCTTGCGGTGACTCCGTCCCTCCCCGCCCGGTCACACCGGGAAGGAACGAGATGTGCCTGGGCCCCCTCACCTGGGACGGAGTCCCGGGCGGGAGCTGGCGTTTCCCCCACCCCAGCCGGCTCTAGCACCGCCATCCCGGGTGGCTCTCCGCCCTCCTTCCCCAGCCTGTCCATGCTTCGAGGCTGTGCCGCATTCCTTGGCTCTGGTAGATCAGCTGTTCGAGCCTACTCAGCCTCGAAGCTTGAGGGTTTGTGCAGCTGCAGTGGCTGGTTTGGTGAGCTGTGAGGCCACCGCAGCTGTTGGGGACAGTCACAGGACTGACTATCCATCAGCCCTGAAAAGGCATCTGTTCTGCCATTGGAGATGGTCTTTATAATGTCCAAAGGCTTCGAAAAATGATCCACTCCTCACTATGGGATGAATAAACACACTGATATCCAACACTGCATTATGCTCCACTATTGCCCGTGGAAAAACACGGACATCAGCAGGATGTTTGAAAGAAAAATGTTTAAGTTATAGTTGCTGGGCTAGAAGCTGGTGGCCTATGTAGTGTGACGGTGCAAGTGTAACTTTTCCTTGTTTATGTTGTAGTGATACCTCAAGGAGTCATGGGTACAAATTGAAAGATGGGAAATTTAGGTTAGGTGTTAGGAAGAAATTCTTTACTGTTAGGGTGGTGAGGAGCCAGAGCTGGTTTCCCCAGGAGACTGTGGATGTCCCAACCCAGGTAGCATTCAAGGCTAGGCTGGATAAGGCCTTGAGCAGTCTGGTCTGGGGAAGTGTCCCTGTCCATGGCAGGGAGATTGGGGCTAAATGATCTTTAGGGTGCCTTCCAACCTTTAACATTCTATGATTCTGTGTTGGAGCAAAGGATTAAAGTAATAGGATTTCTTAGCAGCCAGGCTTTTTCTTTCATAAGGCTGTTGAGTTCTAGGAATGGGACTGACAGTTAATAAGTTATTGTCTAATGTTAACATAAGTGTCACTTGAAACACTGCAGGTTGGAGCAGAGTGTCAAGGGGAATTCTGGATGTGTTGCAGTAACCCGAAGGAAAACAAACCTTTAGATTTTTAGAGAGAATAAATGGGAAGGATTGGAGATTAGTAAAAGAAATAAAGTTGCCAGCATGTCCAAAAGTTCTTAGCACATGGAAACTTGTACTACTTCAAATTTGGGCCTCTTTTTCCATTCCCACCCAGGGAGGCTTCCCTCAGGTCACTTGTTACTTTATGAAAGAAATACCGCTTGTTTATTTAATTTTCAACAGCAGCCAGTTGCAAAGCTAAGCACATCAGTAAGCAAAGCATCCAGTCCAAAGCTTGCCACAGCTGTAATTTCTGCCAAAATGTCATGGGAATCTACAGAGAAGAATTATATCCGCACTCAGTGTATTGGAGACCTGGAAAAGAGAACAGAGTGAGGTTTGGGAAGGAAATGTTATGCATAAAAAAACCCAAAAAATAACAACACACTTTATTTTTACTGCCAGTAAGCTCTGAGAAAATAACCATACTTTGAGCAGCAGTATTATATTTGTCCTAAAGATGCAAAAAATTGTTGTGCAGTTCAGCCAAGTTGATTGTGACAGTAACAACTTGGTGCTTTTTCTCAGAAGCTCAATAACCCCTGCCAGTGCTCTGTCAGGCAGAGCTTCCTGCCACCTCTGCTGAATTGGAGTGTTGATTGGTATAGATGTGTATGAGGAGCTGGAACAGATCTAATCCAAAGCTAGGAATGGCTTTCATTTTCATCTCAACACTTCTGGCTCTGAAACTGTGAAGGATGTACCTTGTTCTTACTTTGTGCATATGTAAGCACAAGCATGTAATATTGTGGAACTGCAGTTTATCACATAATCTATAATCTACCCAGAAATGGCAGATTTTGTGTTTAGTTCAATACTGTATCTTATGTTTGTTGTTTACCTGATGTAACTGAATGGGTCATTGACTCATTAGCCTGTAATAACTTCTGTTGAACTGGACATCTGGGCTGGTGTGTCTGTTTTGGAGCTTTTTTAAATCTAGAAAAGAGGTAGCATTGTATAGACAAAAACACATGAGCAGTTCAAGGATGTGCAGCTATCTTTGCACGTGCTTTTTAAAGATCAGTAGAAGAATATTTTTATGCTGTTCAGTTGAAAGTAGTGAGACTGTTAAATATCAGTGTGGGAAAAATGGGCAGCTGAGACAAGAGCAGACATGAATGAATAAGCACTGCATCCTATTGTATAGGATAATGCAGGACATTGGCCTGCCAATAGTAATCACAGATGATACCCTGAGGAAGAGGAGATGAACAAAACTAGGGTAAGAAGAAATTGTTGGTTTTAATTGTCACTGCAGTGGCACTGATAGGAAGGTCAGGCCTCACCTTCAGGCTAAAATTAAAATGTGTTAGAAAACTTAAAGGTCTCTTTTTCCTATTGAATTTGTTCCTGCTTTTGTTGAACTAAGCAAGGCTTTTGCAACAAGTTCCACTGATTTAGAATGACATTCCCTGTCTTTGCTTCTGTAACAACTAGCAGAGTTTTTCCTTCATTTGATTTCTTTTTGGTGTAAGTATGTTTGTTAGAATAGAGCCTTTTCAGTTCTTTCTCTTAGGCAGGGAGGAATCTTAGCTCTGTATGCACACATGCATGCATATTTTACTGATCTTTAGAGAGGAAAAAAAACTAAGGTAAAGATTGATTTTAATGTATTCTCGCTGTGCTCATATTTCACCAGTTGTTGCAAGTACAATGAGTGGTTATAAAAGAGGAAAGCAGAGCTGATATCTTCACTGTCAGAATTAAAATTTTCCATAAAGGTTTTAGACAGCTTTGTTTTCTTTATTGTAGTATCTTAAAGCAGAGGGGGGTCTTTTAAAATCCTCTGGGGAAGCTCCCAGAGAAGCACCTCTTTGGAAGTGTCTTGCATAGTTATTTGCCAAGTGTTTTTCTCCATTACTGGTGCATATTCACTGGGTCTATAAGTCACACAATTGCAGTTTTGCTAAATGGATCTACTCTAATGCTTCTTTTTGTCCAGTTGTCATTAGGTTTTTTTTTAAATAGCTTATGAGCAAAAAATAGTTACAACAAATTTTATGGAGGTATCTTTTTTATCATGTCTGACTCATAAGGAGCATTTTATTTCTGGAAAAACTTGAGTGGTTTCTGTAGATGAGATTCTCCAAACTTTCTTAATCTACTGTAAAAGCTTCCTGCTTCCATTTTTGTACTGTAAGAGATACATTTGTTTGAATGTGTTTTTTCATATATCAATAAATTCATAATGAAGCTTTTATGGAGCAAAAAGAAGTTACACTTGCATTTGGCAAATGGATTTTGTTCTTGATGCTTCTTTTTCTCCTTTGGTTTTTAATAAGGTTAGCAAAAATAATACAATGATTTATCTTGCACCTCTGAAAGTTTCTGTGACAGTGAAAGATCCTAACACTGCTAAAGCCATCTCAGCAGTGACTGCCTGGTTCTGGCCTTTATTTGCTGGTGAGTTATATTGAAGAGTTTTTTAGTGGCAGTGTAAGAGTTGCAAGAGATTGAGTGTGGGTATTTGAGTCTTGGATCAGATTTCAGCGCTGGTTTCTATGTGAGTCAAGTGGTAGAGGGTTAAATCTGGGTCACATTTGTACCTCAGCGTGCCATTTAGGTGATCCAGTTTCAAAGTGGGCTTGTTTCATTTCCTCTGCAGCCTGTGTTTTGAAGGAATACCTTAATCTGCTGCAGAGTTAAAGAGCTCCCCTAGTTTCAGTTCTAGCTCAACTACTGTAAGTGTTTGCACTCCTGTTTGAAATTTACTGGAACAATACTATATTTTACTAGGCAGTAAGTCTGTATGTAGGTGATGAGGAGAAGGACAGCTGCAGGAAAGAAATATATAGTCCTTTCTGCCTCATTGTTTGCTTTCTGCTAGTATTGGGATCCTCCCAAGGCAGTGGTGAAGTGATTGTAACTGGGCATTTGGTCAGACTTGATTTTCCACTTTGGAACAACAGCCTGTGTTGTATGGTAGCAGTAGACTTGTGCGTTGTTAAAGCACGTTTGAGTACAGCATTGTCATCTTTTTCATGGGTCATGCTGATTCTTTCTGAAGCTTGATCCAATATTACAGTTATGAAATTGAAATAGTGTTTGAAATGGTGTTTTTAAACTGGATTTGAGCAGTAGACTGGAAAATCCAGTAAACTGGAATCTACGCAGAGATTGTTATTTTAGTATGAAATGTTTCTGAAGGAAAGGATGTGACAAATTAAGGGAGGGAAAAGGGATTCATTTATTGCCAGATTGAGTGTATACTACTTCTTTCTCCTTCTTTAAAACATTTGCAAGTTCCATAAGCAGATCTTCAGAAGTGCTAGCAACCTGTGTGGTGCACAGCTGTCATTCATTAAAATTTGTAGCGTACTTTACTGGATTAGTACTTTTCATGAGTTTTAGTGGGACAAACCCTAAGCTGTTCTGTATGTAATTAATCTGGAGGATACCTTTATGCTCTTAAATGAAAATGTTACATTCCTGAATCCAAGCTCTAATTATAGAATGTGGGTCCAGAATGAGTTTAAGGAGGACATACTCAAGTTTACAAATGTGTTTATGCAGACACAGGGTGGAGCTGTGACCGCATCCTGTCACTTTTTGGTGAATTGTACCACTGGAGGCCTTGAGCCATTCCACCCCCTCTGTGCAGAGATTTATCACAGGCTGGCCAGTACTTGTGTTCTCCTCCCTGCTTCTCAGAGCAGCTGTGTACTCCCCAGTTGCCTCAAAATCTGTTTCCTTTGACTCCAGAAAGGGCAGTGTCAGTGCTCTTCTGACACAGTCGCAGTGACTGTCCAGTTTCTGGGGGCTATGTAAGGCTTCAGTCCTTCTGCAAATCAAAATACAGAGCTCTTGTTCTCAATTAGTGTGAAATAGCTCTTTCTGAATTTTGCTTTCTTAAATGACTGACTCTCTGTATTTAAAAGAACTGAGATGAATCCAGTTAGTTTGCCCTAGTTCCAAATTGAAGTCATACAGAAGTGCTGTGTTTTGTAGTTAAATATAAGAGTATGCCAGAAATCATATGAGAGATTTTTATGCCTTTTGATGGACCTGTGGTGAGTGACAAGTTGAAATGAAACTTGAAACCATGTGATTCCAGATTTTGCTTTTGGGCAACTTCAATACTTAAAGAATGCTGAGAATATGTTAGTTTGGCTGTATTTTCTGCCTTTGCTAATAGTAAAATGAACACAAGGACAAGTATTTTTCTTTTGAAGAATGCTAATAGAACTTTATTTTAAATAGTTATTTTACAATTCATTTAAACAGTTTCCCATGGAGTATTATTAATTACAACCCCCACTCCCATTAATAAGGTGGAAGATGCTCTGTTGTTTCACATAGTTCTAGGCAACTGCTTTGTAACACAGATTAATTTTGCTTTTGAAGTAGGAATGGTTCCCAGGCAATGTCTTGTCATGTGTCATTGCAGAAACCAGTGTCTTGAGCCTGTGTATTTCTGAACTGTGAATTTCATACTTTTATTTTTCTAACTGCAGATATTCAGTTCTTAGTACCTTCATTCTTTTTGTGTCTGCAATATTAGTTCCAGTAGCTTTACTAGTTTTAGTCAGTGTATTGTACTTGTCTCTCTTTCTCCCTGGTTGGGCATGTAAGTTACACATGAGTAATTTTAACATAGTAATTTTTCTTTTAATCATTGCTCATCTGGTGAGTTTCTTGTCTGACATGCTAAAACGCTCTTCTCCCATCTGTGGGGACACAGGGAACACAATTACTTTTTTTAATGTTCTTTATGTAGGTATTTAAAAAATAGGACACTACAATGGATTTGGATTATGGTATTTCTGTTGTTTTGAAGTACAGTATGCCACATATTACTAGAATTTGTATTACTTTGACAGAAGTATGATTTCAGCCTAGTTTCACTTGTGATTGGTTTTAATTTTGTGGTCTGTGGGTCATTCACTTCCCCCTGTACAACCCCTCAGTTCTAAAGCAGGGCTGATGCCAACAGTAAAATCTTGGAGATCTCTGAAAATGTATTTTTGTATGGTATTATTAACTAACACAACTATATTTTTACATTTTCTAGCTTCTTACAGCAGAAACCTTTGTGTTTATAAATATATATTTTTTGTGAAACCACCAGTGTAATGCTTCTTGTCAGTATTAAAGTGTTATGGTTTTCATTCATTACCATTCTGTCAATTACTGCTTATGCCTGTCTTGATATTGATCTTTATTTCAGACTTTTTCTTGATTGTCTTATTCCCGTGTACGCTGTGTGCTTCACTGGAACATGGAATATTCCAGGCCACAGGATTTACCAGTTTATTAGAAACTGACTAGAAAACTATTCCTGTTTGATTTAGAAGTTCTGTTTGAAGTTAGGAATGATGCTGGAGTAAGAAAAGTTTTCAAGGCTTTTGAAGAGTTATCAGAATGTGCCTCTCTGCAAAGTGGTTGTTGGAAGCAAGTCCCTTCCCAGAACTCCAGTGTCATTGGTATAAATCTTCTGTTATAGCTCTCCCCTAAGGGGTGGAGTACAAAAACATGGACTTGGGTATATTGAGAAGGGCTTTATGTAGCCATCTTGATTTTTTTATTGTTATGAATTTTGTTGTTTCACATATCTTCACTTTTATTTAGTCATTCATGTCTACTTTCTCTGGTTTTGTGCTGATTTTTCTAGGATAAGTTGGATATCTGACATTGTTGTGGTGGTCTCTCCTGAAAATATTGAAACAATGAAGACTATCATTGAAAAATATGGCCACAAAAGAGTCACAGTAGTAGAAGGTGGAATAACTCGTCACCGGTCAATATTCAATGGACTGAAAGCGTTTGCAGAGAATGAATTTTCCAGCCATTTGCTCCAGAAGCCAGAAGTAGTGATTATCCATGATGCTGTGAGGCCTTTTGTTGAAGAAGATATTGTTTCAAAAGTGGTTATGGCTGCTAAAGAACGTGGGGTATGTACTATACAGCAATGGAACTCTGTAATGTGCTTTATACTGTACAGCTTAAAATCATGGTTGATAAATCAGGAATTTTCTAGCGATTTTATTAATGTGTGATGAGTTTTTTTAAAGTAGAACAGATCCAGATTCCCTATTACAGAGAGATCAGGTGGGGGAGGTTGACATTTTTAAATACTGCAGGTATTATTTGGTACAGGGAATAATTGTTGCCATGGAGACTGTCAGTAAGCAATTGAATCAATCAGCAATTTGTTAGTTGAAGGGTAGGTTATGTAATGATAGTTTACCCCTTTTTCCATGCAGAATTATCTCTAAATGCTAGAGCAGTTCTGTTAGTGGGTACTAATAATAGCCAAAGAGTGTGTGTACTGCATTGTTTGACTTGCAGTACTTGTGCAGACTTTGTGCTTTCATCTCAAACTTGTATGCAAATCCTGAATAAACAGCAAAAGAGCTGTCTCTGTATTAATGCCAAATTGTTCTATAATGTGTAAGCATTGCAGACTGCTGGAAAACAGGGTATGTGGGAAGCCTCCAGCTGTAGATTGGGTGTTCTCCTGTTTAACACTGCATCTGAGGACTGGGATTACTCACAGAAACCAAAAAGATTTCTGACAAAGTAAGATATATGAAAGAGAAGAGTTGGTAAGAAGTTGTGTTATGCAAGGTGATAGGAGAGGTATGCACTAGCAACAAGAGGAACTGTTAGATGAACTGCCCAAGTCAGAGATGTAAGAAATCATGACTTAGCCACAGGCTTGTTTGCAAAATTTAATTATCTTTAATTTGTTCTTGAATTCTCCATTAATGAGATGCATAATGCTTCCCTGCTTCAAGGACATGGTTTGAGGTAGAAGTCATTAGTGACAGCAGATTGTTTGGGTACTAGAAAACTTGAAAAATACCACTGCTTGTCTTCCTCCAGAAAATGTGGGAAAAGATAGTTGACAGGTGGTTCACAATGTGCACAGTGGATTAATGAGTCCAAAGAATGAACTGTGGTGTTTCCTTAGTGCTCCTACACTTTCATAGTGTAGAAGGGGAATATACAGCTTGTTAAAATGTTTATTATTGATGCCTTAAGCATCATTATGAAAATCAAACTACATTAGTCTCTCAAAACATTATGTTGCAAATCTAAATATATTGAGCCTCTTCTTAGTAGGCCTGTAGTTTTTCAGATAGACTTAATAAGAAATGGCAAGAAAAGTGAGACTCTGCTCTATAGTTTTCAGTGATCTGGAACATAGATTTCCAGTTATTAAAACCTAAATTCTGTTAGGTCAAAAATTTATTAAAATTCTTTCTCATATAGCACAAAATAGAATTTCAGATTTGATTTTCTGCCAAAGATTTCTAAATAAATCCTCTTTGTAAATCAGTTTTAAATGTGACTCTTTGAGAGTGGTAGAAGAATGCAGTTAATTATGCTGGTTTTGGGTTGAAATGAGAATAACTTTTCTCAATGTGTTTGTGTTGTCTTTTCATATTAAGGTAAATCATATCTCATTTGAATTTAACTTATTCAACTTTTCTTGAAAGTTTTGTGATTTTAGTATAATATTTTCTCTTGGTTTTCTTTTTAATTGAATGTAAGGTATTTAAAGTAAAAAAGTAGAGGGAACCAAGGCAGTCTCCATGGACCTTCTCAAGTCAGTATTCTAGCTCATCTGGAACTTCTGAGCAGTAAATATTTCCTAACCTGGATCACTGAAGTATCATTTGATCTCAAAGAGGTGATTGTGTACATGTATAGTAGGCTATTCCACTGCATGACATTTGACTGAAATGTGTGTGGTGGCTTTCTGTGTCAGCTGAGATCCACTGGCTTCAGCAAGGCTGGGCCATCAGAGAGATGTGTGCTCAAAGTCTCTAAAAGCTGCCTGCTGTTGATATTATGTGACAAAGTAATTGAATTAAGGGACATGAGAAGAATTTCATTTTATGTAACAAATTGGAAAACCACAAAACCACTTTACCAGAGGCAGGTGGTTATTTCTACTTGAGAACTGCAGAATTCTGAGGAACTAAATGGAAAGCTGTGACTTTCTCAAAATTGGTATGCATGGTTTTGAATATCAGAAAAAAACTGATTGAGAGCAGATATCATGTTTAGTTCTTCCTATGGTCAAATTCTTTGCATATCTAAAAGGATGTCAGTTCTTCAATCTTTCAGTACAAAAAGTAATTACTTCCTCTTGCATTATGTAGAAAGGTACAAAACCTGGCAGAAACATCACATTAAATGACTTATGTTAATAGGGGTAATGCTGTATTGTTATATGTCTGCATACCAGATAGATAACATAACTATGAGAAGCTTTAATGTTCTTTAAAATGGCAATTGATCAAGTAAGTTATTCACTTCTAGCTGCCAATTGTCAGACAAATAAACTGCTTTATTGCACTTACTAATCGGTTTGTTATTTGCCTGGGGGAATAAAAATGTGTACCTTAACCAGAACTAATAAATTATGCCTTAAACCCCCAAACAACTCCTTGATTATGTCAAAATATTACTTTGTAAGCAATTAAATTCCATTTATGTTTTTGGAGTAATTTTGCAATTAAAATTATATGTTTCTAGAAACAAATTCTTTGCAGCCAGTAAAAGTTGGGAAAAGTGGAAGCCTCAGAAGGCATCAGTCCAAAGCCTCTAGCAATATCTCATTGCCAACATTGCATTTTAAACAAAACTAAAATGAAAAATGCTTACATGGAAAAGAAATCAGGAAGATGGCGGGGGGAACTTGTCAGTTCTGCTATTGAGAGTTTACAAAAAGTAGGCACATCCAAAGACTTTTTTTCCTCTGGTTAACATAAACTAGATTTGAAAGTACAATATGTTATGTTGAAAGGACTAAGTCAAAATGGCACTCTTAAAAGCTGGTTTCTGGAAGCTGTCTAACATCATTACTTTATTCTGAGCTTTAGCAAGGACCTGAACAAAGCTTACATGCCAATACAGCTGTGCAGTGCTGCTCAGTCTTGTGGACTCCTACCTAGAGGCAGTTGGTGAAGGTAATACCCCCAGACAGAAAACACTTTGTGTTGTGCTCAGTCTGTTCCTCACTCTTACTGTAGCAGAAGGCTGGAGCAGAAAACATGGACCCCTGTGGATCCTGTTTCACCCACTGATTTTGCTGTCTATGGTTGCTGAGTTACATTAGCAAAACTTGGTGGGTGGCAAACCAAAAACCACCTCTTTTTCTTCACTGACAGTAAAGGAAGATTTGGGTGGATAAATAAGATGAGCTGGTGTAGTGTACTTGAATGGGGACAGAATGCTATGTCCCCATTCTGACCTTTCTTTGCACTTTTGCTCTTGGATCTTGTTGTTTTCTGATCTCCTTATGGTTTTGCCATATATAGAATATTTTTACACCTGGTCTTTGTCCTCTGTTATATTCAAAGACTGATTTTAGCCAGCTGCAAAGGCTGCATCAGTGACAAGATTGTTTCTGATTCATATTTATACACTGGGTCATCTGAAGTTATCCTCTGCTGTGTTCTCAGAAGTTCTGCTTTCATTGTATGCTTGGTGCTTTGCAGTGCTCTCCCTGTCTTGTCAGACCCCTGTGCAAAAACAGAATTAAGAACTGATGGCATACTACTATTACCATCTTGACTGAATGGAATGAGTTTTGTACTTTCGGAGAGTGACTAACATCAGTGTAAAAGTAATTATTAATGAATTGTAGGGGTGTTACTCATCAATAAAATAGCATTTAAAGACCTACATGCTCTTAGCCTACTAAAGCACATGGAGGACAGGGAGGGGATTAGAGAGTGCCATTATGGCTTCACCAAGGGCCAGTCCTGCTCCACCAACCTACTGGCCCTCCATGATGGAGTGACTACATCAGTGGTATGAGGAAGAGCTATGGATGTTGCCTCTCTCATCTTCCCTAAGGCCTTTGGCACAGTCATCCACAATCTCCTTCTCTTAAAATTGGAGAAAGATTTGATGGGTGAACTGTTCAGTGGAGGAGGAATTGGTTGTCTGGCTGCATTCAGAGGGTAATGATTAACATCTCAATGTCCAGCTCTAGATCAGTGACAAGTGGTGTCCCTCAGGGGTTCCTGCTGGGACCAGTACTCTTTAATACCTTCATCATTGATGCAGACACACTGGCATCAGATGCACTCTGAGCAAATACATAGATGACACCAAGGTGAATGGTGTGGTTGATATGCCCGAGGGGTGGATGCTATGCACAGGGACCTGGACAAGTTCAAGCAGTGGTCCTGTGCGAACACTGAGGTTCAACATGGCCAAGTGCAAGCTCCTGATCAGTAAAGGCTGGGGAATGAAAGGATTGAGGGGACTCTTCAGAAAAGTGCGTACTTGTGGATGAAGAGCTCGTCATGAGTGACAGTATGCACTTAGAGCCAGAAAGCCAGCTGTGTTCTGGGCCAGGAGAGTTGTGGCCAGCAGGTCCAGGGAGGTGTTTATGGCCCTCTACTCAACTTTCATGGGAACCCACCTGGGGTACTGCATCTGGCATTGAGGGCCTCAACACAAGAAAGATGTGGACCTATTGGAGCAGGTCCAGCAGAGGGCCACAGAAATTATCAGATGGATTGAACATCTCCTACGATGAAAGGCTGAGAGTGTTAGGGTCAATTAGCCTGGACAAGAGAGCTCCAGAGAGACCTTATTGTGGCCTCTGAGTACTTGAAGGGGGCTTATATGAAAGATGGTGACAAACTTTGTAGCAGGGTCTATTGAAATAGGACAAGTGGTAATGATTTTAAACTAAAATAGAGTACATTCAGACTAGATAGAGACAAGTACTTTTTTTACAGGGGGGTGGTAAAACACAGGAAGAGTTTTCCTAAAGAGAAGATGGATGCCCCGTCCCTTGAAACAGTCAAAGTCCAGCTGAACAAGGCTGAGTAACCTGATCTCACTCAGAGTTTAAGACATCTGTGCTCATTGCAGCAGGGTTGGACTACATGACCCTTAAATGTTCCTTGCAACCCAAACT